AAAAAAAAAAACAAAAACAAAAAACCAACCACAACCATTTATTCTGGTAACAAAACCAAGAGTCATGGACTTGGACAAGAACTACCTGTTACTTGTTCAAGTCTCTCAAGTGCAGCTGGCCCCATCACAGTCCTCCTCAGGCTAACAAATGCCACATATTGGAAACCACTACCAGCTGGCTTTCAGGTGGATGTTATGAAGAATTRAAGTTCTACAGACTGGAAAACAAGTGTGGAAGCATGCAGAAGAGATGTGGGCAACTGGGTCAGCAGGACGGGGACAATTCTGGGAGATAAGCAATCAGGTACATAGAATGGGTTTCAGTTAAGAAGCTGCTTGTGTAATGAAATGCCCTTCTGGGTTCTGTTGTTAGAAACAAACAGTTCAAGTAACAACCAAAATAATTTTTTGTCTTTTGTTCCTCTAACGTAGACTGCAACCTGACTTGAATAAAACTACAGGCCTGAGCTCATCATATCTGTAGTTCTGTCCATGCATAGCATCTAAAACAGAATAGATTTGAGTTGCATGCTGTTTGCTTTCAGCTTCTCCTAGGTCTAGGTTGTCCCTGAATACATTTCAGTTTCAGACTGAAAGATACCTCAGTCTTTCACATGAATCCTATTAGCCTGTGCACACCCCACACACCCTTCTGGGCCACTCCCTTGAACTGAAATGTGTTTTGTGCTGGACTGAGCAACACATTTAAATAACAAATGAGCACTGAATTAAAAGAACAATTCTGAATTGAACTGGTATCATCACCTATTGATTAGCATGATTATACTGGGGCTTATCTGATCTAATTACATACAATCAAGTATTTCTAGGAAAGGAGAGATCATTGGATTGTTTAATTTTCTCTGTTTAGTAAATCAAGGTATGGTCACAACCTAGCCACATACTTCACCCCTGCTTAACAAGAAAAGCATGTTTTGTCATTCAGTRATGTGCCTAAAGATATGATTTGAGAGTAAGAAGAATCTTTTCCTGAGATTTTTTTCCCCTTTCAGTTCTTTAGAATTGTTCCATGAGCTTCTTTCAAAAGTGAGAACAGAAATCTAGAGGGGGGAAAAACACCCAAGCCTCTCATTCTGTGTTAGATATTGAGCAGAAATTCAATTGGTTTATATAATAATTGGTTTATATTTTTGCCAGTTGGCTTCCCTTTAGAAGGCATACACTGTTGTTTTGTTTAATTATGCTTGTGGCTGACTGCACTGCTACTAAATGGGAAACAGATTTGGGCAGACAAATTACCAATATCTGGTCTGGACTGGACTGGAATTAAATAGTTTTCTTCTTCTCCACATGAGGACAAGATTGAGTACCAGAAATACAGCTGTTCAGTAGCCATTCACTTCCATCCTCTTGGATTTTTGTGTAGAGGCAGTTTTCTCCTAACAATGAAGTTAGCTAGCTAAGGATCTCAGGAACTGTGGTACTCGGTGGGGTACTGGTGGATTTTGTGTAGAGGGAGTTTTCTCCTAACATTGAAGTTAGMTAGCTAAGAATCTCAGGAACTGGRGTACTGGGTGGAAAAGAGCAGATATCTGACTTTGCCTACTGCAGGACATTCTTGATTCCACTTGAAACAAATTTCTGCTTGCCTTGAAATCCCAGCACTAGCAGGAGGTGAGCAGGCATTGCAAATTTCTGGCTGTTTCTCGGCTGTCCTTCACTAGACCTTGAGCTTTATGCGCTAGAGGGACAACAAGGTCATCTTGAAAATCCATCATCACACAAATATCTAGATTTAAACAGTTGCTGGAATTTTTACAAGGTGCCATGGTTCCTGAGAAGCTGTGTTTGGCCAACAGACAAGTCCAGGCAGTTATCCGCTGCTTGTTTGGACAAGTTGTCATGGAAAATTAGCACTATGCTCCCTCTGCTCTAGCCTGTCTTTAAACACTGTCTGCAGCATTTATGTTCTCTGGCAAAGTTTTTCATTATTAAAAAGTAAAAATGTCACCATGGGCTAAGAAAAAAAAGAGAATTAGAAAAGGCAGACTAAAAACTAATCAGTTTGAGTTGAAGTGTAGCAACTAATAAGTGCTTATGAAAGTAACATACTTCAAAGGCCCTTACATTTAAAATACTAAAAATTATAGAATGGAGGATGACAAGAACATAGGAGGGCAGCACCCAATTCTCTTYGGATTTAAAGTTTTCTCCTAGTTCTACACTAAGAAGAAACAACTTATAAGGCACAAACGACCGTTGCAAATCGAACTGGTATCCAAAGGCGTTGTTAGCGATGAGGCAAGGCAGCCAAGCATTCCTGTGTGGCTGCCTTGGCGCGGGCTGGCAGGGGGAGCCTTTCCCTCCATTACCGATCCCACACAGGCTCTGGCAGTGCTGCCGCCTC